CTGAGTGTGGCTGTTACCAATTCCAACTTCTGAATTAGCACTGAATATATCAACAGTCCCTGGGCCCTGCCAGGCACTGAAGGACAGTCTGAGGTGCACATGTCCTCTGTCACTGTGTGCTGGTCATGGGCCCTACACTGGCTAATAGAGGGGAGGAGAAGGATGAGATGAAGTTGTGGGCTGTCCTCAGGCATTGATGTTTCCTATCTCCAGTGCCAATACATTTTGGAGCCAGGGCCTTCCTGATGGCCTTTGGCTGTGAAGTGTCCAGGGATATCTTCATCCAGCTCCAAGAGAAAGGGCACAAAGCAAAATACACTGCAGGGTCTCCCACACACTGCAACCTCCAGCTTTGTCCCGCAGCAGACTGGAAGAGTCACAGCAGAATGAAGGAGGACTGAGAGGCCAAAGCTAACATGCACAAAAACTTTTATCAGCCTGGAGAAGAATGGGTAACAGGTACTCACTAGAGTGGCTGGTGAGACAGCAGAGAAAAGAGTGAGAAAAGTGGAAAAAGGAAACATCAGCTTGCAGCTCCATCATGTCCCCACGCAATGGAGTCCTTGGGAACGTAGGTGAGATGGACAAGATCAATGCAAATTTCCTAACAACTTTGCTACAAACAAACCCTGAGAAATGCCCCGGGTGAACATCACCTGCCCACAAGTGATGCCAGGCCATGACCTGATCCTTATGCATGCACTGACGTCTTTTAGATCCAGAAATCCGTGGGCCTTTAATGTTGGCAATTACAGAAGTTTGCATAAAAGAAAGCACTTGGCATGAGTAAGGAAATGAAAAGGCAGCAGTGCAGGAAACCAGGACAGAGCCCCTACCATTAGCTGGGATGGTTCACAACTGGTCAACAAATTATGATTCCACAAAGGTGCCTGTGGGCCTGAGGCAGGGCAGGACTGCTATAAAAGGCAGCCCAAGTCTCTGCTCCCTCATCCACTTCTCTCACCTCCTCCTCCTCAGGAATCAGGTGAGTGGAAAAGCCATTCTTCTTCTCCTGCTTCAGCTGATGGGGGCTGTGCTAGGCCAGGGCTGGGAGCTGCTGGTGCTGGGAGAGGGAAGGGGAGAGAAGGTGTTGTGCAGAGAGAGGCTGGGACTTGGCTGAGGAGGCTGGTGGGCTTTGGGCTGGGCAGTGCAATGTGGGGCAGGAGGTGGCTTGGCTGCAGGGGGGTTGGGTGCAGGGCTGCTTCTCATGTGTGCCCACTTTGTGCTTTTCCCTGCCCTGTGTGCCAGGTGCCCCTGTGAGGCAGAGACATGTCCTGCTGCCAGCCCTGCAACCCTTGCTGCCAGCCCTGCGGGCCCACCCCGCTGGCCAACAGCTGCAATGAGTGCTGTGTCAGGCAGTGCCAGGACTCCCATGTGGTCATCGAACCCTCCCCCGTGGTGGTGACCCTGCCTGGGCCCATCCTCAGCTCCTTCCCACAGAACACCGTGGTGGGATCCTCCACCTCCGCTGCCGTTGGCAGCATCCTCAGCTGTGACGGAGTGCCCATCAACTCCGGGGGCTTTGACCTCTCCTGCATCACCAACCGCTACAGGTGTCGGCCCTGCTAAAGCTGCTGGCAACGTCCTGGGGAAACAACCTGCAAGACCTCATAGCATGGGGCTGGGCAGGAGACAGAGCTTCAGGACATTGTATTTAAAGCTTCAAGTCATTGTTCCCTTCTTCTAGTCTCTCCTGTCCCTTTTTCCTTTGCTGTCTGTGTCTCCCTAGCCCAGCCCAGGGGGACCTTTTGGTCTCCCTGCCTCTGCAGGGCAGGCAGATGGACACCCTGCACGAGCTTCACTGCATCTTAGCGGCTGCTGTTGGTGCCCTCTGGGAGCCACCTGCTTTTCTTCTTTAGACTCATTAAATTTTTTGTGCATCCAAGCCTGGTCTTCTGAGTCATCCTTTGTTCTCTCACAACTCTTCCTGTGTGCTCAAGGATTAAGGTGTAGAAGCAGTAGGGGCTCTCTGCAGTCGATTTTCCTTTGTGAAAATCAACTTCACTGAGGGGCACACGACAGTTTTCTTGGAGGCATATTTATTCTTCCCATGATGGGCTCTGCAGGGAACAGGACCAGTCTGGGCAGTTACACTGGAATGATAATACTGGTACTAAGCCCAGGAAGGCACAGCCCAGCATGGATCCAAGCCTCATTTACTCTGGGCCCAGGAAATCAACCCCTGGGTGCCTCAGGATGGAGCCCTTCCAACTTTCCCCTTCATGTGTTAGATAATCAATACACCCTTCTGGGTACCTGTATCTGCCACCTGAGGCAGAAGTCTGATTGGCCCTGCTGACTCACCCCTTGGGACTTCTCATTTCTCTTGATTTTGACAAACGCCTTCTAGAGAAGAAGTTCAATTGCTCGAGTCCCTCTGTGCTATTCCCTGTCTCCAGTGAGTGTCTCTTTAGGTGATGAGTTCTAGGAAACAAACAGGACAGCAGCCATGCACATCCCATTTTGTCCCAGATGTGCACATGTGCGTTCATCAACTGGTAACCACATGGGCACTCTGCTGGTTTTAACACCAGCAGGAAATCAAACTCCAAATAAGCCACCCTTCCTCCTCCAAACCTTCTGGTAAAGGGAGGGACAAAAAGAAGAGACTATGGGATGAGATTACAAGTTACTAAAAGCACAAAGCAATGGTCTAAGACACACACAATAACAATGGCTCTATTAATAGCAAAAGTATAGAAAAAGAGAAAAGGTTTTACCCACAAAAACAGTGTTCACCACCAGGAACAAAAACAATATGGCACACTGTGGGGAGGAAGAGGTTGAAAACAGAAGATTGCTGAGGAGAAAGAAAATAAGTTGTTTTTAGAATTGTTTTCACTCAGAGACCAACCATGCAACTGGGAGTATTTACCTAAGTATTTTCCTCTTATAACTGAAAGTATTTTCAGTATGGGAAGTTTCACGTATTTTGCTTGATGTGGGTTGTCTTCTGTCTGTTGAAAGGAATGGAACTCTCTCAAAGAAGATAATAGAACGTTGTTAAAGACTTCAAAGTACTCTTTCCCATCTATCAGTACATCAATTCCCTGTAAGACGTGCCCACCCATCCCCAGACAAGGGCAATGTGGTGACTGTTCCCACATGCCTCCCCCCACTGCCATCGGAAAACAAAGGGAACATGGCACAGGAGCTCCCTGGGCTGAGGTTTCCCACTGCCAGGCAGAGAACAACGAAAACCAACAACAAACCAACCCCCAGGGACAGGGTGGGATGAGCAGGGGTAGCGCAGTCACTCCGCTGTGCACAGGAACAGGCAGTGCCGGTGCCACCTCTTCTATGGCTTCACCACCCTGCAGGTCCATCCCGTGGCTCACTGCTGCTTGTTTTCTCCTACTGCTCAGCTGCCCTCCTTTCGACTGGGTTTAGCTGGGTTTGGCAGGGCTCCTTTACAGGGACAGCCTGGCTGGGTCGGTGTTGCTCCTGCCGCTGGTTCCTCCCCTGTCAGAACCCTCCCTGCGGGCCGCTGTCGGTTCAGCACTGTGGTTGATCAAGTTTTTGCTGCTGTCCCTTTCAGCACCAACGTCTACGGCCGTGCCGTCACCTTTCCTTGGAACCACATCCTCCAAAACAACACATAGGAACAGGTCTGCTGGGGCTGATGCCAACAGTCCCTCTGCTGCAGACAGAGCGAGGGAAGAAGGTTCACTTCCAGTCCAGCACCTGCGTTGTTTTCTCCCAAGACCATGACCCCAGAGATGATGTGGGTGGTACAGAATGACAACCAGGTCACAACCACACAGCGCCAAACTCCTCCCCCCTCTTGGTAACCAGGACAGGCACACTGAAGGGCAGGGCTGTGAAGAAGGGTGAGTAGTGGTGGGACAAATGGAAATGGGTTTAAACTGACAGTAAGTTAACATTAGATATCATGAAGAAATTCTTCCCTGTGAGGGTGGGGAGGCACTGGCACAGGTTGCCTGGAGCTGGATGGAACACTTCCATCCCTAGAAGTGTTCAAGGCCATATTGGACAGGGTCTGGAGAAACCTAGCTTAGTGGAAAGTGTCTCTGCCCATGGTGGGGGGCTGAGACAAAATGATCTAACCCAAACCATTCTGTGACACTATAACCCTATGATCTGTGGGCTGTCCATGGCAGGAACCATCTTCCTTTGGCTGCTGCTCTTGGGCACTGCTTTGGTCCAAGGTTTCAGTAAGGAAGACACTGATGGACAGACATCCATACATGGGAGGAATGTTTTCAATTACTAGTGAAGCCAGAAGTCATTTGCACAAACTCAGCCCAAAGTCCTTTACCACTGCATAGCCTGAGCGTGGCTGATCCCCATCCCAAGGTGGGATTGTCTCAGCCCTGCATGTCTGCACAGAGGCTTTGCCTGCCTGTGCTGAGGGACTGTAGGAGGCACATATCTCATCTGCCTGTGCTCCTGTGTGCTGGCCATGGACCCCAGAGTGGGTAATGGAGGGGAGGAGAAGGAGGAGATGAGATTGTGGGATGTCCCCAGATACTGGTTTTTCCCTTCACCACTCCTACCACTCTTTGTAGCCATGGTCTCCCTGAAGATCATTGGCTGGGGAGTGTCCAGTTTTGTTTTCCTCAGCTCCAAGGAAAAAACAAAATCCACTGCAAGGAATCCCACCCACTGCTTCTCCATCTTTTTCCCTGGTCAGACTGGAAGTGTTATTGCAGAAGGAATGACAACTCAGAGACCCATCTTTGAATGCACAAAAAGTTTAATGAGTATAAAGAGGAAAAGGAAGTGGCTCACAGAGAGCACCAGGAACAACCACTAAGACGCAGTGGAGCACCTGCAGGATGTCCATTTACTGACCCTGCAGAGGGATGTCTCTCCTGGGCTGGCCAAGGAGACATGGAGAGCAAAGGCAAGAGATGGAAGAGCAGAAAAAGGAAACATCATCCTGAAGCTCTAAACACAGTGTCCTGAAGTTCTATCTCCTGCCCAGCACCATGTTCTGAGGTCTTGCAGGTTTTTGCCCCAGGACATTGCGAGGAGCTTTAGCAGGGCCGGCATCTGGTGCCACAGTAGGGCCTGGTGATGCAGGAGAGGTCAAAGCCCCCGGAGTTGATGGGCACTCCGTCACAGCTGAGGATGCTGCCAACGGCAGCGGAGGTGGAGGATCCCACGGCGGTGTTCTGTGGGAAGGAGCTGAGGATGGGCCCGGGCAGGGTCACCACCACGGGGGAAGGCTGGATGACCACATGGGAGTCCTGGCACTGCCTGACACAGCACTCATTGCAGCTGTTGGCCAGCGGGGTGGGCCCGCAGGGCTGGCAGCAAGGGTTGCAGGGCTGGCAGCGGGACATGTCTTGTAGCTCAAAAGGGCACCTGGAAGGGAGGGCAGACAAGCACAAAGCGGGCACACATGAGAAGCAGCCTTGCAGCCAACGCCCCTGCAGCCAAGCCACCTCCTGCCCCACATTCCACTGCCCAGCCCAAAGCCCACCAGCCTCCTCAGCCAAGTCCCAGCCTCTCTCTGCACAACACCTTCTCTCCCCTCTCCCAGCACCAGCAGCTCCCAGCCCTGGCCTAGCACAGCCCACAGCAGCTGAGACCTGCAGGGAGGAAAGACGTGGTCTTGAAGCAGAAGCAGGAGGAGAAGAAGCTTCCCACTCACCTGATTGCTGAGGAGAAGGAGGTGAGAGAAGTGGATGAGAGAGCAGAGACTTGGGCTGCCTTTTATAGCAGTCCTGCCCTGCCTCAGGCCCACAGGCACCTTTGTGAAAGCACTAATTTTCTGACAGCTCATGTCAAATGAAAACCATCCCAGCTAATGTTAGGGGCTGTGTCCTGTTTTCCTGCACTGCTGCTTTTTCATTTCCTGGCACATGCCATGTTCTTTCCCACATGAAGGCTTTTGAAAGTGCCAGGAGGACAAGCCTAAGGATTTCCGGGATGTAAACACGTCAGTGCAGGCAAAATGGTCAGATAAAGGGCTGTTGGCATCCCTTGCAGGCAGGTGACGTGAATCTGTGTCAATCTATATGTTTGTTTGTGGCAAAGCTCTAGTGGCACAGTACACTTCTCCTGTCTTGGCATCAGTGGCTGGAGACCCTTCTGTGTAAGGTGGAGCTCTGAAGGAAGGAGCCTCAGTTCTCCTCTGACATCCCTAATTTCCCCTCTGCACTCAGAGATCTGGTGGTGAAGATTCTCTTCCTGTGAGGGGCCGGGGTTGTTGCCTCACGGAAAGGGAGAAGGTTTTGAGAGAGCTTCTGCCATTGAAATGTTCATCCTCCCCCAAGTCCCAGGATGGGACTGGAGTGTCCCTGAACTGCAAAGAGACAGCAAAGGCTGTTGTGATGGATGCTCTGTGCATGGCTCAGTGGCAGGAACTGGGCGTTGCTTGTCTGTGTCATCCTGGCAGCCCATGTGAACAACCTTCCCTGTCCTGGAGCTGCTCTGTGTGCTGGGCTTGGGGAGGTGCTCTCTGCAAGGCACCTCAGCCCTGCCAATGTGTGCAGTGAACGTGTGGGGCTGCCTGGGCACTGCCTGGATGGGATGGAAGAGCAGGGGGCTTGCCCGAGGTATCCTTGCTCTTGGATCTAGGCAATACCCCCTTCTGCTGGGGATGGGTGGGAAGGGGAGGAGGAGGCTCTGGGCTCAGGACAAGGTGATTTCTCCCTCATGGCCATCTTCTGTAAGAACCTTCTTCCTCAGCACAGCTCTACCCACAGCAAAAGGATCTGCCCTAAGTGCTTGTGGCTCTGCTGACCCTCTGCAGCAGCGGAGTGCTCCCAGGAGTACAGCACAATTTGAGATCACCATCTGTAGGACAACTTCCAAGGCAAAGGACTGTACTTCTGGGCAGAGACATTGCAAGGGAAGGACTGGCAGTCACTGTCTGTGGAGTAGCCAGAGCTGTTGGCCTCACCTCCAAGGGCCAGGACCTGAAGGAGGCCAACAGTGGGTCCTATCCTCTCTGTTCTCTAGAAATGAGAAAGGGTCCCTTAAAACAAGATGTCTCTGAGAAAATGCCACAATGGAAGGATCACCATGGGGAGCCATGAGGCAGTGCCCCACAGAGGGAGAGAGGGGGGCAAGTCACCCCAAGGTGGCTTTGTTGGGCGTCATTTCCCAGGGGATCAGAAAATAGCAAAGGATTAGAGGGGAAAGGAAAAAGCAGAGGGAGGGAATGAGAGATAGAGGCCATTATCTGACAGAGTCCAGTCTGGTCCCTTCCAAAGGACTGACACCATTGGTAGCAGTGGGACCTGCTCAGCCTCTCTCAAACCATGATCTCTGTCGTTGTGTCTGGCATCATCTCCTGGATTCACAGGGCTCCTTGTCTGGTCTATCTCCAGTGTCTGTACCTAGGGGGGCACCTTCTGCTGCCACAGAAGCAGCTGGTGCTGCAGGAGAGGTCACAGCCCCTAGAGCTGAGGGGCACCCTGTTACAGCTGAGGATGCAGGGGAGGTGGAGGATCCCACCTGGGAGAGAGGGCAGGCAGGAAGCAGAGCACAGGGACACCTGAGGAACTGCCTGCAACCCCAATAAAAGAGGCAGAGGCAGCTGCTGGGTGGGGAAGTAGAGAATGTGCAGAGGGGAATGAGGGATCCTTTCCCTGAGCGCTGAGGGTTCCCTTGGATAACAGCAAGGCCCAAGGACACTTCTGTCTTCCTATAGCAAGGAACCACATCAGCCCAGCCTCAACCTCTCTCCATATCAGCCCTCCATCTGTACAGCCTTCAGGACCACGTTGTTCAGCTGAGATTGTCGCAGGAAGGATGGGAGACCCAGCTGAAAAGGGAGATGAATCTCTTCTGCCTAACTCTGGATTCCCTGCACAGGAACTCCGAACAGCCATGTGGTCTCCCAGAGCCATGCAGTGCTCCCTGGAGACTGGCTGGATGTATGGATTTCCTCTGAGGGGCCTCATTCCACCCCTCACAAGGCTCATGTCTTCAACACCTTAAGACAATTTATCATATGTGTTTGTGACTTATAGTGAGGCGTAACATTGGCATCACTCGAATGCCAAATGGATCTTTTGAAGGAATTTCCAGCCCAAGCATTTACTCTGTCTCTGGGACTTCAGCACAAAAGTTTCTGTATTTGGAAGGAAAGTCTGTAGAACAAGATCTTGGTCTCAAAACTAGGAATGGTAGGAAATACTTTAAAGGCACCAGAAGGGTCCTGTTCCATTTCCCAGGCCAGTGTCGAGCTTGAACTCTTAACTTTTGGAGATGAAGTCCTAGTAGGACTTCAGGAAAGCCTTGGAAGGAAAATAAACTTGGAGGATTCACTTTCTATTTCTACATGAGTTTGCTCAGAAATAATCAATAAAACAAATAAACCCCCATTCTGATTATGTGTTTGTGGTTTTTTTGTGGTTTTTTTGTGGGTTTTTTTTTTTTTTGTGTGTGTGTGTGTTTTTTGTTTTGTTTTGTTTTTTTTTTTTTTTTTTTAATTGGAGAGTTATATTAGCCAGCTATATTAGATCTTTGTGTTCCTACACTTCCCAGGGATTCTTGGCCATATTACTGGATTCGAAGAGTCCTCCCAGAACAGCCTCTGCCCATTTCATGCCAGCAATGCCTTGGGAGCTGTGGCACAGCCAAGGGCTGTCCAGTTGCCCACGGGCAGGAGGGTCTCTTCCACCCTTGGGCAGTGCAGAAAGGTGCTGCTCCTTGGCTCAGAGTTGCTGCCGTGGAGCTCCTGGTGCTGCCACAGCTCATGAAAACTGGCAGCAGGAACAAGTCAGGTGCTGCAGCCTGGGGGCACAACACCCCAAAACCACACTGTGTGGCCCGTGGAAGGCCAGTAGGGCCCATGGAAACAGTGGCTCAGAGCACTGAGTGAGCAGGAGCCTCGGCCCTGAGGGCACTGCAGTGACTGGCAAGAGCAGAGCTGTCCATGGTGACACTGCGAGTCTGGAAATGAGGGCAGGGACTGCCCTTGGCACGGGCACCTCAGACCCGGGGAACATGATGCCTTGACAGCAGTCAAAGGGGAGGGTGATGTCACAGAACAAGGTATGGCAGGAGGTTTGAAAGATTAATTACATTAGGGTAAATTTACCCTAATTGCGTTAGGGTAAATAAGCTGTTGTTCAACTTGTGTATAATTTGGATATATCCACCTGTACTTAACACGTGCAGACGCTGCCCTTCCCTCTGCCCCTGCCACAGCTTCTCCCCTACCCCTGTCTCTGTCATGCCCTGCTCTTTCCCAGATTTCCAGCCTGCCCATCAAGGCAGAGGGAGGCAAGGACAGGAAAGAAAGGTAGCCCTGGCATGGGCAGGCTCTGTGCCTTTGAGCAGAGGGACCCAAGCAGCCTCCTTTGCCCTACAAAGGAGGCCATGAAGATGGTGTCTGTCCTCTCTGAGAGGGAGAGGTATTTCCTTTTCAGACAAAAAATAAGGAGAAAAAAGTTGTGGGTCAAGGTAAAGACAGAGGGATTACTTGCTGCTTACCAACAGAGGTAAACCCAGGCTTGACTTGAGCAACATTCATTCTACATTTTACAGATAAAACAGAGCAAGATGGCAAGAAAATGCAAAAATAAAACCCCAAACCCACTGAACTGAAATACCTTAACTCGATCCCCAATTCTTTTTCACGGACACAATGCCTCTTGCTCATTCCTCGTTCTCCTATTTCCTCCATCCTTAAGCAGCACAGTGGGATGCACAGTGTGGGCTTGTGGTCAATACACAACAGTTTCTTTCTGTGAAAAGATGGACTTTACCAGACCTGATCATGAAAAGCAGCAGGATTTTGGCAGTTTTCCTAAAGCTCACACCTTCTAGCATTTCCAGACACAGTTGCTAGGCATGCAGGCTCAACCCTTTTGGGAGCGGAGTTGTGGAAGTCCTGGTGCTTGAACACAAAAGGAATTTGGCTCAAATAATGTTTGATTTTCCTTGTGCCACACAGAGAATCTGTTCTATATCTCCAAGGAGAGCAGAATCCAGATCCCGGTCCCTTCAGTCCAACACCCATTTGTGCCAAGGTGCTGCCACTGCCTCACTCAGCACAGGCTGATAAGCTGTAGAAGAGCATCTGGCACTGGCCTGGGAATGAGGAGCCCCTGTCCCATCCCAGGCAGAGCAACACTCCAGGATAAGTTGACCAATTCAGGGGCTTCACTTCAGTGGTCTGACAGAACCACTCAAAAATCTGTATGCTCTTACAAGGAAAGGAAAAATTCAGCAACTGAGGACTCTGCAGAGGAGATGCTGGGATGTCCCCTAACATGGCAGTCCTTGAGTGTGTAGGTGTGAAGGACAAGAGTGATGACCATTTCTTGACAACTTTACCACAAACAAGACTGCAGGAAAGTCACGGGTAAACGTCACCTGCCTGCATGAGATGCCACCAGCCCTCGAACTGAGCATTCTGCCTGTGTTGGCACGTTAATGTCGCGGAAATCCTTGGGCTTGCCCTCCAGCACTAACAGAAGACCTCAAGCAGAAAAGAATGTGGCATGTGCCAGGAAATGAAATGGCAGCAGTGCAGGAAACAAGGACACAGACCTATCATTAGCTGGGATGGTTCACAACTGACAGGAGCTGGTCAGAAAATAATTAGTCCCACAAAGGTGCCTGTGGGCCTGAGGCAGGGCAGGACTGCTATAAAAGGCAGCCCAAGTCTCTGCTCTCTCATCCACTTCTCTCACCTCCTTCTCCTCAAAGGTGAGTGGGAAGCCTCTTCTCCTCCTGCTTCAGCTGCTGTGGGCTGTGCTAGGCCAGGGCTGGGAGCTGCTGGTGCTGGGAGAGGGAAGGGGAGAGAAGGTGTTGTGCAGAGAG